CGACCTGTAAATTCCTGTAACTAGCTGGCTCACCTGTACGTTTTCGCAGCTTCACAGGAGCTCACAGGTCTTACCGAAGTAGAACCTGTTATCTCACATGATCCAGGAAAAAAAACTAGCGGAAGTGCAAAATGCCACCCCTAAGCCGGAAGGAACCCCGTTTTTCATGCATACTTTATACCAACTCGACAAATTCAAGCAATTCTTAAAGAGCTCAGAACTTCTTACCTTCCATTCGGACTGAGCGAGACCGCTGAATATTTTGGATCGGAGAAAAGAAGTTCCCTAGGAATGAGAGTGGCCTACTGCCAATGGGAAGCAGTACCAACGCCGATAGAAGCATCCCTGAATAATGAAGAAGTTAGAAATATTTAATTTAATAGACGATTTGAGGAGGAAATCGATTAAAAGAGATGAAATATGATTAATGCCGACACATTTAGTTATGGGATCAGTGCCTTTTCAAATGACTATCGCTTTCCATGAAACGTCAAGCAAAGCGGTAAAAAATCCTATTCAGAAGTTATTGATTAGTTAGGATGTCAGCTGATATTTTTATTTGCGCCATGCGTATGGCGGCCACGTGGAGTACCGAGGCGATTGGAAAGACCACTTTTATGCTTTTACTCCAAGAACTCTGATAAGACATCGACTGGGTCAAGAAGAACCATAGCGTCTGGGAAATGATTTCGTTGCACACAATTCTTGATTCATCTTTCTTGTATTCTTGTATTCTTGAGACATTTATGGTCAATAAAGTCCCTGTAGAGCTCTCTGCACCCCCAAGCCTACATTAAACTAAGTTTAGTCATGCTGAACCGTTTACGGGAAGAGCATGGAGGGAAGATGGATTGCGGCAGAGTAGCTAAGCCACCGATCCCGAGTAGTCCTGAAATCTCGGAAGCACCTTTCCCACCCACTTCAATGCCCACCGTTCAGTGCATGACCCCCCCCCCTTCCGTACAAAGTACAAATCCCGGCCCTAAATTCCCTCTCGCTAAATGCCAGTTTTTTGGAAAAACGTGAAAAAAAACTTCGAAAAACTGGAAAAACTGGAGGTGGGAGAATGTGAAAAGATGGTGGGCAGTGTGGGGGAAAGGGGCTGTACTGGAAGAAGGACTTCGGGATCTTAACCCAAACTGGTAAAGATCCCGGAACCAACCTCTTAGATATCATTATATCACAGGATTCTCTGAGGAGTTTAAAAAAGACATGAGACAGGTGGGTAATGATGGTAGGCCAGTGGTTATACCCTCTTATAACCCGCGATCACAGGGAGTTTGTGATCCTGTCGTAGCGGTGCCAGGCTACTTGTCCGTCAACATTGCTCAACACAATCAGGCTGTGAATAACAACTCTGAAAGAGGTCTGGCGCTACCGTATCTGCTACACGATTACCTCTACTCTTTGATCGCTTGGTTACTAAATACCTACTTCACTGTGGTCAATGCATCACGAATCCTGAGGTCTAAATCTATAAGAGTTTTAAGCGCGCAGATCGACTCGGGGGGGGGGTATTTTGCACTTTCGCTACTTTCTTTTGTCAGTTCTTGTTAGCTCACACGTCGCCCCTTGGTGATACCTGTCGACAATTGTCAAGTATAAACGAAGCGCACGCCATTGTACAGCTTTACAAGAGTCTACAGGTTTCCACGAAAGGAAGCTTCAGTGATCAATGAGAACCAGCGAAATGCCCCCCAAGGGGCGAACTGCCTTCATAATAAATTATTCTTGCAGTTCAACTTCTTGG